GTCCGCTGCTCCAGTCTGGGTCCCTGGGGTGCCGTCGCTCCTGAGAATGCACCTGAGGATGCCGTTGTTGTTGCGAGGGCCCCTTATCCCAGATACAGAAATGTCCGAATCCTCTAGAACGGAGATATAATGTTCCGAGAGTAAGGCACGTCCCAGAACAGACTTCTGACCCCCGTCCTAAAGGGTAGGGAAAGGGACAAATGCAGTTGATGATTCTTCAAATTACATTGGTAAGTGACTATTGTATAGAGGACTGATAAAAAGAGACAAAAAATACAGACATTACATCAATACAGTATAGTCTTCTCATAATAAACCATTAAAATCTTGCACTTTTCTTCTATAATTTCATTTCCATTTGTTTATGCTGGACTTCACAATGTCCATTCCAGTTGATAAAGGAGGAAGGCAACGATAAGAAAAAAATGGGAGTCCCTGAACCTGGCTGATGCCAGGTCCGAGGACAGGGTTCTCCCCCAAGAGGATCCTGACTCCAGGAACCACTGGACAAACAAGCATGCCGGTCCAAAAGCCATTTACCTCTTGGAAGAAGCCTCCTGACACTCGTTCAAGGTTAAAAACAGCTAACCAAGTTCAGGACCGGCTCTCCTTGTCCTAGGTTTGGCACTTCCTGGATGAGTAATTCAAACCCTTAAAAAGGAACCTACGCAGCCTAACGCTGACTTCGAGACACAGCTAATGCTGCTCCTAAGGTCAGTTACCTCCTCCAGGAAGCTCCTTATCCCAGATACAGATATGTCGAATCCTCTAGAACGGAGATATAATGTTCCGAGTAAGGCACTTCCCAGAACAGACTTCTGACCCCCGTTCTAAAGGGGTAGGGAAAGGGGCAAATGCAGTTGATGATTCTTGAAATTACATTGGTAAGTGACTATTGAATAGATGACTGATGAAAAGAGACAATACAAACTTTACACCAATACAGGATTCTCATAATAAACCATTAAGTGTAAGTACAGAAAAAACTTCCACATTTTTCTCCAATTTCCTTTTCATTTGTTTATGCTCGACTTCACAAGTTTGATTCCAGTTTATAGATGAAGTTCTTTATGGTGGGGTCAGATGGCGTTAATAGATGACTCTCTTCAAGGTTGGGTTCAGACAAAGTGAAGCTTGACCCTAAGATGTGGAAGATACAAAGGAAATAAATTCAGTACAGATTAAGTAGTGCAAATCCTTCCCTCACTTATATAAAACTTCTGTCTAGCGTAAGGTCCTTCCTCACTCTTCTGTTTCAGTACAGTAAAGGTTTATGTTATAGTCAAGTTTCTCCCATTTATACATTACATAAGTACTGTATATATATATATATATATATATATATATATATATATATATATATATATATATATATATATATATATATATATATATATATATATATATATATATATATATATATATATTAAACATTTGTTCTTTTTCATTTTTTCGGATATACAGATGCAGAGACTTTTAGCTTTACAAAATATAGTATGACACTTTTAAATCTGGTCATAACTGAATTTCATTGAACAACTACTTTTACTTTTATCCTCTTCGCCACTAATCGGCTCATTAGCCACTTGGGCGGTCGGTCACGTCTTTGTTGCGCACTGTTGGCAAGTACTAGCTCCTGAATGTATCTGTACCTGCGCCAGTGTTGGTCAAATCTGATCTTGAAAGAGCTGACACTCAGTGCCGTCACAAAACTGTGGCAGATTGTTCCAAGAGTTTACAATTCTACACCAATAGTTTGCCCTCACAATTTTCTGCACCTGTGGCCTCTTCAACTTTGAGCTATGACCCTTTGCGAGATGGACATCCGCCAGCTCCAAGTATGGATATTCGACTAAGTAGTGAATTCCGAGATGTTTATAAACTTCACCGCTTGCCCGTCTCTAGTAAAAGCTAAGCAGTTGTAGGCTTTCTACTTTCTCTGGGTAATTGAGGTGCCCCATGCCATAGTGCAGGCATCAGTCTGGTGGCCCTCCTTTACAAATAATTGTTCACATACACGCAGTCAAACTATAACATTTAAAAACATGTACAGTACTGCATATCCATTTGCAGACACACTAAATGTTAATTTCAAAATACAATCCAATGATTCACATTATAGTACTTTTCTATACAAAGTCTTTTTACTACTTCAGCACCATCATACTAAGGCACAAAAAACTTAACCCAAATTATCAATTAAATAAGAGGATAATTTTATTTTCATTTTCGCAAATAACAAACACCGACAAAACAAGTCATTTCTATTTCATTGAAGAACAGAAAAATGCCTCACAAATAATGACAATACCCCTGTACAATGATCAGCAACATTACATCCATAATTATCTTCTTTTGTGACTAGATACTGATCCTGTACCACGGTGTTATACATATCACTTGCTCACTGTTGTTTCACCTTAAAAACAAACATTCTAGTGTCCAACGGTGTCTTCTGTAGGTCAAATGGTTGTTTCTGGAATAAACAACAAATACTTATTACTCTTCTATATCATTTATGGTTTTTGCATTTAAAAATTAACTTCCAAAGGGGGATGGGTCATGAGTAGAATTGGATATTTCCATTCAAATCGTAAATGGACAGTTAGGTCAAAAGTTCACTCCCTCCCAAAATGAAGCAGTATCGACTCAAAGTGGAATAAACACCACACTCGCACCAGATGACAGTCAGGGTAAGTAAGTTCCTAGGTTCATTCCTCCCGACTCATTTTACAGGGGGAGTGAACTTTTGATCACGACTGTACCACCAAAGACAAAAGTCGTGTGGCGGTTTTATCCAAAGATTAATTATAACTCGTGAAACATTATGAGAATATGTTTTCACCAAATTTCTAACACGACTTTTGTCTTTCATTGTACATTTTACGATTTAAGAGCCCTGTGGTCTTTCTGATTTTGAATGGAAAATCCAATTCTATTCGTGACCCATCCCCCTTTGGAGGTTAATGTACCCAGTTAAGGTTAAAATACATCTACTGTACACTGCAGCACTTCAATATGCTCAGAAGACATTTTACAGTGGGTATATCATGTTCAAACAGTGTGTGTGCATAAAACCTATAGATTCTGAAACACTATTCTTACACATCAACAAATATTTCATATACCCTGTACATTATTTATTAGTATCCAAGTCTAGACAGTTATTAAGTGTATTTTTAAAATTCTTAAATTCTATAAGTTATTCTTTTAAGCAGTCACGTTCTTGTATATACATTTTGTTTTATCATTTTCACACTAAATTTAACATACCAAGAGGTATACCAAGGGGACCAAAGGCGCTAGGTTGCTTGATCAATATTTCAAAAGCCTCGTCCACCTTAGCTTGATGGTCAAACAGGAAGTCAGCGAGAGAATACAATTGAGTCCCATCAGGAAGTGTGTCGACTCCTTCCACGAGTACACCATTTACCGTCATTTTACCTGGAAATGTTATATAAAATCTTACACTTCTAATATCCAATACAATACGATAAAATGCCAACATGAACACATTTTTCAATACCTTTTTCATCATGAAATATCACAGATTCTGCCGTGTCAGTCTACTGTACATGTCTTACTTCTAGGGTAATATTTGTGATTCAAAGTAAAAATTTTGGAAAACATATAGATTCAAAATACGGAATTAAAAACCACACTTACCATTGAGATCAACCTTGAAGATGAGATTCTGCCCACCAAGGTTAGTAACAGAGACCCTCCGGCCGAGTCATCCTGGCATCTTGGGCACTGACGGGGTCACTGGTCATGTAATCTAGGAGGAAGTATGTGCGAAGAGCGGTGTTCTCCTCACTGTCATCATAGAGAGGGTGGGGGGAATCTTGAGGCACCAGGTTCAACATCTTGTAGGAGTCGGGTGAAAGTATTGTCTTAGGTTCTGAAAAGGTGATAAGTTTATCTTAGTAACACAGTAAGGATATTTATGAAGATTGTACAGTTAGAAGCAGTAATTGTTACCTTTATTGAACAGTGTTATTACTGGAGAAAACCCAAGTACTGAACCCAGAGAAAACCTGCTGTCTGGTAGTGTCACACTGAATATCTCGCATCTGTGCTTTCGGATTTTTTTTGCTCAAACTTTAACTGATTTTTTGTATTATAAATAATTTTGAATATTTTCTTATTCTAGAATTGCCAGAATTGTTCCTTAATTTTATGTTTCACGAATTAAAATACTGTACAGTACTGTATTTTGATTTGTAAGTACAGTACGTACAATCAATACAAACATTCACATATTACATTTATGAGCCTTAGTGACTTTATTTCCATGTTTCCAAAGTAGTCACGTTCCCTTGTAAAGTTTTGCAGAAGTTAAAATTTATAATAATGTTTAACTATAATCTCTCTCTCTCTCTCTCTCTCTCTCTCTCTCTCTCTATCTATATATATATATATATATATATATATATATATATATATATATATATATAGTGAACACAACATACCTTGGTTATTTCTGAGTGTTGCTTGGGATTCCTGTAAGCTGAGGGCATGTTTCCACAGGTTTAAAATTGAAGGATGGGCTGCCTCCACTAGTTGTGGGATTCTTGGTACTGTCAGTGTTGTTTTACCTAAAGATTTTGGTCTTTCAATCCTTGATACTCCTGCTTCAAACACTGGCACCACTGTCAAATGGATTGAATCATTTTCTGGTTCAAACAGGAGTCGCTGTATTTCTAACACTGAAAATTTTGCTTCGGAGGCTGGTACATCTACCTCAGAAACTGGTACCTGTGCTTCAAAGACAGGTGCTTCTACCTCGTGAACTGGTACCTCTGCTTCAAAGACTGGTGCTTCAACTCCATGAACTGGTACCTGTGCTTCGACTTCATAAACTGGCACCTCTGCTTCAAAGACAGGTGCTTCTACCTCTGCTTCAAAGACTGGTGCTTCTACCTCATGAACTGGCACCTCTGCTTCAAAGACTGGTGCTTCTACCTCATGAACTGGCACCTCTGCTTCAAAGACTGGTGCTTCTACCTCGTGAACTGGTACCTGTGCTTCGACTTCATAAACTGGCACCTCTGCTTCAAAGACAGGTGCTTCTACCTCAGGAACTGGTACCTCTCCTTCAAAGACTGGTGCTTCAACTCCATGAACTGGTACCTGTGCTTCGACTTCATAAACTGGCACCTCTGCTTCAAAGACAGGTGCTTCTACCTCTGCTTCAAAGACTGGTGCTTCTACCTCATGAACTGGCACCTCTGCTTCAAAGACTGGTGCTTCTACCTCTGTTTCAAAGACTGGTGCTTCTACCTCATGAACTGGCACCTCTGCTTCAAAGACTGGTGCTTCGACCTCATAAACTGGTACCTCTGCTTCAAAGACTGGTGCTTCAACTCCATGAACTGGTACCTGTGCTTCGACTTCATAAACTGGCATTGCTTCAAAGACAGGTGCTTCTACCTCTGCTTCAAAGACTGGTGCTTCTACCTCATGAACTGGCACCTCTGCTTCAAAGACTGGTGCTTCTACCTCTGTTTCAAAGACTGGTGCTTCTACCTCATGAACTGGCACCTCTGCTTCAAAGACTGGTGCTTCTACCTCGTGAACTGGTATCTCTGCTTCAAAGACTGGTGCTTGTACCTCTGTTTCAAAGACTGGTGCTTCTACCTCAGGAACTGATACCTCTACTTCAAAGACTGGTGCTTCTACCTCGTGAACTGGTATCTCTGCTTCAAAGACTGGTGCTTCTACCTCGTGAACTGGTATCTCTGCTTCAAAGACTGGTGCTTCTACTCCAGGTACTGGTACCTCTGCTTCAAAGACTGGTGCTTCTACCTCATGAACTGGTACCTCTGCTTCAAAGATTGGTGCTTCAACTCCATGAACTGGTGCCTCTGCTTCAAAGACTGGTGCTTCTACCTCAGGAACTGGTACCTCTGCCTCAAAGACTGGTGCTTCGACTTCATAAACTGGCACCTCTGCTTCAAAGACAGGTGCTGCTACCTCTGCTTCAAAGACTGGTGCTTCTACCTCATGAACTGGTGCTTCTACCTCGTGAACTGGTACCTCTGCTTCAAAGACTCGTGCTTCTACCTCTTGAACTGGTACCTGTACTTCAAAGACTGATGCTTCTACCTCATGAACTGGTACCTCTGCTTCAAAGACTCGTGCTTCTACCTCTTGAACTGGTACCTGTACTTAAAGACTGATGCTTCTGCCTCAGGAACTGGTATCTGTGCTCAAAACTGATGCTTCTACTTTAGGAGCTGGTACCTCTGCTTCAAAGACTGGTGCTTCTACCTCGTGAACTGGTACCTCTGCTTCAAAGACTCGTGCTTCTACCTCTTGAACTGGTACCTGTACTTCAAAGACTGATGCTTCTACCTCATGAACTGGTACCTCTGCTTCAAAGACTCGTGCTTCTACCTCTTGAACTGGTACCTGTACTTCAAAGACTGATGCTTCTGCCTCAGGAACTGGTATCTGTGCTTCAAAGACTGATGCTTCTACTTTAGAAGCTGGTACCTCTGCTTCAAAGACTGGTGCTTCTACTTTAGGAACTGGTACCTCTGCTTCAAAAACTGGTGCTTCTACTTTAGGAACTGGTACCTCTGCTTCAAAGACTGGTGCTTCTACCTCAGTAACTGGTACCTCTGCTTCAAAGACTCGTGCTTCTACCTCTTGAACTGGTACCTGTACTTCAAAGACTGATGCTTCTGCCTCAGGAACTGGTATCTGTGCTTCAAAGACTGATGCTTCTACTTTAGGAGCTGGTACCTCTGCCTCAAAGACTGGTGATTCTACTTCATGAACTGGTTCCTCTGCTTCAAAGACTGGTGCTGCTACCTCAGGAACTGGTACCTCTGCCTCAAAGACTGGTGCTTCTACTTCATGAACTGGTTCCTCTGCTTCAAACACTGGTGCTTCTACCTCAGGAACTGATACCTCTACTTCAAAGACTGGTGCTTCTACTCCATGAACTGGCACCTCTGCTTCAAAGACTGGCGCTTCTACCTCATGAACTGGTACCACTGCTTCAAAGACTGGAGTTTCTACTTCGAGAACTGGTACCACTGCTTCAAAGACTGGTGCTTCTACCTCATGAACTGGTACCACTGCTTCAAAGACTGGAGTTTCTACTTCGTGAACTGGTACCACTGCTTCAAAGACTGGTGCTTCTACCTCATGAACTGGTACCACTGCTTCAAAGACTGGTGCTTCTACCTCATGAACTGGTATCTGTGCTTCAAAGACTAGTGCTTCTACTTCATGAGCTGGTACCTCTGCTTCAAAGACTGGTGCTTCTACTTTAGGAGCTGGTACCTCTGCTTCAAAGACTGGTGCTTGTACTTTAGGAGCTGGTACCTCTGCTTCAAAGACTGGTGCTTGTACTTTAGGAACTGGTACCTCTGCTTCAAAGACTGGTGCTTCTACTTTAGGAGCTGGTACCTCTGCTTCAAAGACTGGTGCTTGTACTTTACTGGTACCTCTGCTTCAAAGACTGGTGCTTGTACTTTAGGAACTGGTACCTCTGCTTCAAAGACTGGTGCTTCTACTTTAGGAGCTGGTACCTCTGCTTCAAAGACTGGTGCTTGTACTTTAGGAACTGGTACCTCTGCTTCAAAGACTGGTGTTTCTACTTTAGGAACTGGTACCTCTGCTTCAAAGACTGATGCTTGTACTTTAGGAACTGGTACCTCTGCTTCAAAGACTGGTGCTTCTACTTTAGGAGCTGGTACCTCTGCTTCAAAGACTGGTGCTTCTACTTTAGGAGCTGGTACCTCTGCTTCAAAGACTGGTGCTTGTACTTCAGGAACTGGTACCTCTGCTTCAAAGACTGAGCTGGTACCTCTGCTTCAAAGACTGGTGCTTCTACTTTAGGAGCTGGTACCTCTGCTTCAAAGACTGGTGCTTGTACTTTAGGAACTGGTACCTCTGCTTCAAAGACTGGTGCTTCTACTTTAGGAGCTGGTACCTCTGCTTCAAAGACTGATGCTTCTACTTCATGAACTGGTACCTCTGCTTTAAAGACTGGTGCTTCTCCCTCAGGAACAGGTATCTCTGCTACAAAGACTGATGCTTCTACCTCAGGAAATGGTACCTCTGCTTCAAAAACTGGTGCTTGTACTTCATGAACTGGTACCTCTGCTTCAAAGACTGGTGTTTCTACCTCATGAACTGGTACCTCTGCTTCAAAGACTGATGCTTCTCCCTCAGGAACAGGTATCTCTGCTTCAAAGACTGGTGCTTCTCCCTCTTGAACTGGTACCTGTGCTTCAAAGACTAGTGCTTCTCCCTCATGAACTGGTACCTCTGCTTCAAAGACTGGTGTTTCTACCTCATGAACTGGTACCTCTGCTTCAAAGACTGATGCTTCTACCTCATGAACTGGTACCTCTGCTTCAAAGACTGGTGCTTCTACTTTAGGAACTGGCACCTCTGCTTCAAAGACTGGTGTTTCTACCTCATGAACTGGATCCTCTGCTTCTGATGCTAGCAGTCGATCCTGGGGCGTTGGTGTTTCTGGTCGAGTAATTAACACATCTGTAATTAACAATACAGGGTACAGTACTTCTTTAGAATTAATCACCATAGTATGAAAGGACTTAACACATAGATCAACATCATATAATAAATGGATAATTTTTATAATACAATAAATATTATCATGATTTTTTTTCTATTCCAATTGACTACTCTATATGAAAGACTCTGATAAACTGAAACATTGCTGAAAAACCATGGTAGGGCAGCGGCACTTAGGTATTTTATTCTGGCTAACGTCAGACGAATTTATTCAGCTGAGAGAGACCCCTGTCCTACAAAGGGTTAATTGTTTATGTAGATATATTGGAATATGTTTGACATTTTGAGAAGTTATTTAGCTTTAGAATCTAATTTCAAAGAAGCAAGGTGGGTAGGTCAATAGCCCTGACCCATAACTACGTCATCGTTTGTTTACTGCAGTGCATTGTGAAAAAAATTCAGGGTAGTTTTAGTTGTTTTGGTGAAGGTGGGTGTTATTTTGTATGAGAGTGGGCATCATAGTGGCGATTTTAAAGTTTTCTGGGTTAATATTTAATCAGTTTAGCATTTGGCTTGGACTTCAGGAGGAAAATAGGTTCTTTCATAGAACTTTATTCTGAATCGATTTTTTTCTTTGGGTTTCAGTGCGCAAATTGATAATAATGAAGATATAAGCAATATTTGGACAAATTAAAAAGAGCATTTGTCGACGAAATCAGCGTTAAATTAGGTTATAAAGTTCGGTAGTGTCCCTGCGACCTCTTTCATCCCACACTTTCCATTTAATGCAAAGCCCTGCCCACTTCCGTGGACTTCAAAATTGTTGAATACCATAGAAGAAAATCTAGTCAGAATTAAATTATATTTAATAAGAACTTATTTTCATCCTTAAGTCCAGGTCATGTGCTAAACTGAATGATTACCATGATTTATATTACAGATGGATAAAAAAAAATCCTTCATTTCTCATTGTACATGGAATACTTGAGGTCCTCACTGTACTGTAAAACGTCCACAGAAGATGAATTTTGTTTTGACAAAGGAAATCGTGTAAAGTATTTTGTAAAAAAAAATAAAAATACTATGGACATTAAATTTGAGGATTACACAATATCCCGTCTATGTGGCGATATTGTGAATAATACAATCGTGTTTGGGATCTGGTTGATGTTCATCTGACATACAATATTTATATACTATTGTAAATTTAGACAGTATAGCTGTTTAAACTGAAGTTTAGTCAAGCGCAATAAAATAATTAGGGAATTTCAGGGATGTATTAGAAATAGATGAAAAATTTGGTTAGTCAATGATCGTAGATCAAAGCTCTTGGTCTGAGCATTCAAAAGCCATTTGTAAGGGATGCGGGTGGAAAAAACCCTGAGTGTACCTATTTTATGTGATGAGTAACTGCTATGATCAGGTCCTGTATGTTTCTAAATATTTAATAAGTGTACATATAAGTCTTAATCTTATTAATAAAGTAAATATACTCTATTATGTGTTTCACCCTTTCTTCCTCCACATATTGAACTGTCAGAAAATACAGTATAGCTGCTACACCAAACTTGCAAGGCCAGGTCTCTCTTGACAACTGCCTAGCTTTTAAGAGGGACATCATAGTTAACCAACTTATAATGGCTAAGGTAATGGTGGCAGCCAGATTAATTATGAAAAATTGTTAAGTATAAAAGAAAATGGCAGTATAGTAGCACCATTAGTCCTAAGTATGTGAAGTAGCATCACTAGCGCTGAGTATGTGTGTAGAAGATTTGACTGAATAAGTATCTATCTCCTGTTTGGCAGTGACCCAATCAATGATCAGATGGATGGTTAAACTTAACCTGGGATCTAAGAAATGTTCACCTGAGACTTGAGGAAATGGACTGATTCTTCCAGGTTCGGACTGAATCAGGTTTGCAAAGGCTTCTTGTACTTGAGTTCTGTGATCGAAGAGGAGGTTGTCCAGGGTGTACACCACAGTGCCGTCTAACAGCTGCTCAACCTGTCTCACCTCCACTCCGTTCACTGTTATCTCACCTGAAAATGGTAATAACATGCCCCTGTTTGAATGGAAATAGAAGGTTGTCTCCCTCTCTATTTCTTTCTCTATTTATATTTGAAGTGCATTAGAAATCATCTCCTTTATTAATGTGGCTGTTAGAAATGAAGTCAGGATTATTTAATTTCCATTTTTACGATCACAGAGTCTGAAAGTTTTTGCCACTGGAAATAGAATTGTTGGACCTTTTTTGTTTGGTTGTCGAAAGAACAATAAGTCAAGGTAGGTTCATTACCTCCAGCGCCTTTCTTGAAAGTTAGGTTTCGATCACCAAGAGTTTTAACAGAGAGTCCTTCTGGCCGAGTCATCCTGGAGTCCAGAGCACTGATGCGGTACTTGATGAGGTAATTCAGCAGGAACTGTGTGCGGAGAGCCACATTATCCGCATTGTCGTCGTAGAGCGGGTGAGGGGCATCCTGAGGCACCAGGTTGATCATCACTGAGGCTCTAGGCGACAATACCGTCTTGGGTGCTGTAAAAGTTTTATAGAACTTAGATACCATGCTGTGACACTGCTATCAATGTCATCATTTGTCATGTTTCTGAGAAAGATTGAGAAAGTGGAAGGGAATCCGAGGTGAAAGAACAAAGAACACATTAAAGTGAGAAAGTGTCCAGAAGCATCATATTTATTCAGAAAGAAAGGTAAGCAAAGTCAAACAATAGAAAGAACGGAGAACACAGATAAGTGAGCCAGAGAGAATTTATTCAGCAAAACACCTTAAAAACACTACCTTCTCCACCTGCAGAACCTTGTACTCTGAAGGCGTGGCGCCACAAGTTGTAGAGTGAAGAGGTGTGGGCATTAAGGTTCAGGGGCAAGGTTGGCACTTCTTGAGATTCCCTACCAGTAAAGTGCACCTCCCTTGTTTCACCTCCCCCACCAAGTGACTGCATGCCAACAGCTCTGGTGAAGGGGACAACTGCTGGTAGGAGCCCAACATCGCTATGCTCACCAGCTTGATCTGTACAAGTGTTAAGACAACAAGCTAAAGTAAGATCTTGTCTTCATAGAATGTTGTCAGTGTATACTATAAATGTATCTTGTTGTATCTTGTTGTGTTAGTAAACATGTGTGGTGGGCAAGAGGGTGTGATGGGCAAGAGGGTGTGATGGGCAAGAGGGTGTGATGGGCAAGAGGGTGTGATGGGCAAGAGGGTGTGATGGGATAGAGGGTGTGATGGGATAGAGGGTGTGATGGGCAAGAGGGTGTGATGGGATAGATGGTGTGGCGGGCAAGAGGGTATAATGGGATACAGGGTGTGATTGGATAGAGGGTGTGATGGGATAGAGGGTGTGGCAGGCTAGAAGGTGTGACCTGGTAGTGAGACTTGTACCTTGATGATTTGTAGGGTAAAAAGGTGACTTGATTTTGACTTAGTTTAAAGACCTATGACCTCATTTAAACAGGAAAAAAATCTACCTCGTCGTTGAAACCGAGAATACAAAACAAGGCCTTACAAATTTATGTTATAAAGTCACAACACGATTTGTAAATAATGTATGGAAATAAACAAGAATACACCTAAGGACCTTTCTTTTTATAACACGTATGCAAAACAATATACAAAAATATTCCCTAACAAACGATGGATATAAAACAAACACAAAAGTGATATAGACATTTATTTACCTGCGGATGGCCAGTCACACGATACTCACCCAGATGAAGGGTAGTGAGAAGAGGGTCAGCATGATGGTCTGTGAGTTCGAGGGAAGCCTGGTTCACCTTGGCCCGGTGGTCGAAGAGGAAGTCTCCCAGAGTGTACACCTGAGTCCCATCACGAAGAATCTGGTGGTCCACTACGGGTACGCCATTCACCACAATATTACCTGAGGGTGCAATGAGTTATTAATTTGTTTAAGTACCGAAACATTCCGCATCTTCTCAAGTCTACGAGAAATTTGATGGCATCAGTGAAATTTGCCCGAACGAGACTAAAATAAAACCGGTTATAATGTACACAATAAAACTTTTATTCATAAATGTATGGAAACTATTTGCCCACAAATGGGCAGACAGAGACAGCTCCATGATTTGTATCCATCTGATGATCAAGTTGTTGCTTTCAAGGGGTTAAACCATCATCATCAAGGGCTTAAACCAACGTACTCAAGAGTCTAAACTTATCGTAAACAAAGAGGTAAATCCTCATTATCAAAAGGTCAAACAATAGTCATTAAAGAGTCGAGAGTGTGAACTGTATGGCTTTTTTGTCTAACTAAAATAACATTTACAAGGAGTGTTCCAGGGTTAGTACCTGCCCACATCACCGGCCACTTACCGTCCTGATCTGCTCTGAACGTGAGTTCCTTCCCAGCCATGTTGATGAGGGTGAGGCCTTGAGCGCGAGCCAGCCTCGAGTCCTGGTCTATAACAGGGTCCAGCACCAGGTAGTCCAACAGGAACTCTTTGACGAGGGCCACACTGTCCTTGCTGTCGTCAAATAATGGGTTGGGGACGTCCTCAGGCACCAGATTCATCACTTCCAAATAGTCGGGGGACAAAATTGTCATCGGGTCTGTTGAAAGTGTAAGAAAACATATTTAACCAGGGACTGAAACCCACACAGGACTGGCACTATGGCATTCCCAGGTGATGACCACAACACACCACCATCCAAAAGTCTCTTTCATACTACTGTATGGAGTTCCCAATATTATCCCCATCGTTAAGAATAAAGTAAATGGGTCGTGTCTACACTACAGTAGACAACAGAAAGAGACTTGTGTAGCTGAGGAAACTTCCACAGTGCGAGTGGACATCACTGCTGTGCATAAACCTCATCTCAGATGATATATAAGCTTATTAAGAGAGACAGAAAAGCAAAACTAGTTAAAGAAGGAATTAGAGAACACACAAGAATCTGTGAGAAAAAAATATTAAAGCATGTAGTAAAAATAGGAATGAGAAATAATCAATGTGACATACCTGAGGTGAAGGTGGGTGGGGACTGTTGGTGACTGAGTGCTCGGCGCCAAAGGTCAAGCAGAGAGGAGGCCTCCATCTCCTCCACTAGAAGAGGAATCCTACCCAGCTTCAAGGCCTCCTGGGGGATTTCCACCACTGTGTCGGAAATTGGCTCTTGTGTGCCATTCTCTGTAATGTCCACTTCTGAAGGCGGCTGTGAAATATTTGGTCCTGGTAATGATGTCTCCTCAGCTTGCTGATGTGCAATGTCTGTTTCTGAAAGTGATATACTAGTTTCAGGCTCTGCAACATCTATCACCGAGATGATAACGTCTCTTGCAGGGATTATTACTTTACTTTCAATAACTGTACTATCCGTATCATTGAAGGGATTATCTGTTTTAATGATTGTCGATTGTGTTTCAAGAATTCTCATTTCTTTCTCAGGGACTACAATCTCAGCTGCATTACGTGTTTCGCCAGATCTAGACACTGACACTTCTAGTTTAGGCTTTGAAAAAAAAAAAAAAGAACCATATGAATGACAGGGTACTGGTAAGGAGAAGCTGCAGATCATTTCTCAAGTAAAATTAAACTTGCTGTTAGTGCTGCGTACAACAAGGCAGCAAGATTACCTAAGGTTATGAGGAAAAATACAAGATGAGATACAAATGTCCCAATAATATAGAGGTTTATTTCTGTGTCCTTAGAGAGGATTTGTTTTCCTCGGGATATTCTCCAGAACGTTTGTGTTAATCTACAGAATACAATCCGGTGGTGAAAGAATGAGAAAATAATTTAAATAATGCAAGAAGCAGTACAGTAAGTTGCCCGAGTGACTCTACCAGCGCATAGTGGTGTTGACATTACACAGGTTTTTTTTTTAGTACCTAACGGCTTATAGTGGTTAGGTGGTAAAGGAAACACAGGGCCAGAGAGACAACTTTCAATTAGTTTTTCCTTGCTTTGCCACCTGGCTTGTATCCTTTATATTAAGATAAACGTTGTAGTGAAACTCCTAAAAGGAAACCCACTACTCAACATAACAATCCTAGCAGTTATGTCTTCTCATCACAAACTTAAAGTACAAACTTTAGTGTGCTGTCAGCAAGTGGGGATCACAAACTCTACTACTGCACTCCATATGTCTGAATATAGCAACCGAGTCTTCATTACCTTCAGGTAAAAGGAAGGGCACATTCGACTGATTATTTAGCAGATCGCTCGCCTCTGCTATCTTGGCACGGTGGTCGAAGAGCATGTCAGCGAGGGTGAAGACCGCTGTCCCGTCAGACAGTTCCTCCATACTAAGCACAGCAACGTTGTTGATGGTCAAGTTGCCTGCAAGAAAGGAAATTTCATTTATCTGACGAAGGGTTGTATGGTTGTGTGAGAGAAAGAATAATGACTCAAGATTTTTGTCCCTCATCATATGAACAAAGTCCGAGTCTAAATAAAACACACTGTTTTAGTTTGTGTATTACTCAGAATAGCCGTCACTTAACATATACCAAACATTCCATTATTATCATCATCTTTAGTAAATTACTTGAAGGGATTAAAATTGGAGTCACCGGTGGATGGCTGATCCACCGACGAAGACAAAATAAACAGGAGTAATCAAATACGTAAAGAAAATTCATCTGTTAAGCTTGGTTGTAAAGTGAACATGCTGAAGTTATTTATTTACTCACTGACCGACGAATGAACACCACCTTAACTGTACAGCTAATCACTTAGTCTTAATCAAAAAGGGGTTAAAAAACAAAACAAGACACACTCACCATTAATATCAGACTTAAAGATTAAATTCTTGCCAGCGATGTTAGTGACAGTCAGTCCCTCTGGAAGGTTAATTTGGGAATTCTGAGCACTGACGGGGTCCTGGAGGAGGTAATCCAGCAGGAATTGTTTAAGGAGGGCAACGTTCTCCGCACTGTCATCGTGGAGAGGGTGAGAGGCGTTCTTCATCCCCAGGCTGATCATGACAGAGTCGTCGGGAGTCAATACCGTCCTGACCACTGTGGAGACAACCCGAGTGTAGAGACAAATATAACTCAGGTGTATATACAAATGCGACTAAAGTGTAAAAGCAGAGTCAATGTGTATTCGCTGTTCTCTCCCGTAATCTATCACACTGCACCTTCAATATAAAGTATAAATATTTCTGACCATCAATTGAACATAACTGTCAAACTAAGATTAAATAAAAGTAACTGAATATATCCCCGAAAGATTTTACAAGCCAGGGACGACCATTGAGTAGGTAAGGTGAAGTGGTTATAACACAGTGGTTGTCCAGGGAAACTTCTCTCAAGAGTTACCTTGTTCATTTGGTAGACCAGAGTTGTTTTGATGTTCAAGTCCCAGAAGCCAGATATCGATAATTGGAACATGTGTCTCCTCTAAGGCTTGAGGAGGATCAGGCAGCGTGGCAGCCTCCAGGTGTTGTCTTAAGTTACGCTCATCACGGGTCACTCCCTGCAGGAAATTGGGAACGGCTAGTTCGGCATGATTCATCCCCTTGAAGCTGTTGGGGAGAACAGGATTGAGTCGGATCTCCTCCCCCTTCAGGATAGTGACCAAAGTCACTTGCTCCAGGGAAGGACTCACCGTGGCACTGAGAGTTGTAAGGACAGGATCACCGTCAAGTTCATGGATCAGTTTAATGTGTTCAGATACTTCGGACGAGATCTTGGAACTCGATACAGAACCAGAAGAACTCTCAAAAGAAATCTCAGTTTTTGGATCAACATCCACGATAACTTCAGACGTTATCTCAGTGACTGGTATGGGTTGTATAGTATATGGTTCAGGTGATACTGTAACAGGAAACTCGGATGCTGCACTGAAAGATTTAGATTCTCTGATGGGATGATCAGATATCTCTTGACGAGGTTCCTTCAATGGAATAATTTCATAAAGTGCTTCTATTGGTGGCTGAAGCGACGAAAGCGAATCATTGGTACCAGGGACGGGTTCTCCATTCAATGGTTCACCTGAAACCACTGTGCCTGGACCTGCCACCTTACGTAAAAATCCAAGTACGGGAGATGACTGCTCAGCTAGGGATTCCGTGACCGAGATTGGCTCGATGAGTGAATGAGTTTCAGGAACGGGAGAGACATCCAGAGATTCCGTGAGAGGGATGGTATCCTTGGGTATAGAATTAGTAAAGGCTTCAGTTACTGGGAGGACGTCCTCGGGTGGAGAGTTGACTGATAAGGGAGGGGAAGTTTCAGAGGAGATTTCCGTCACTTGACTGACGACGACAGAATAGCGAGGATAATCTTCCTTATCATCTACAGTGGGTCGAGGAACTTGCACTGGTTCAACTGATGATTCGGCTGGATAACGTTGTTTTTGAGGTATGTCTCCTAACCCTGAAAAATACAACAAATAAATCAAATATAGCCCTCGGCTCAGGAGATAAATCATCATAGCATGCACTAATGTGACTAGTGGAACTCTCCAAGAAGTATTACCAGCATAAGGAACATTTACGGACTATGGTTTCTCATGATCATTTATCTTTCTTTGGGAGGCATCAAGTGGATAAAAAAGAAATCTTGACAGACACAAATGACCATGGGAATGATGACAACCCTTCACTTCACTGACGGCCGAGAGGTAAACACACCAGCCTACAAAGCTTTCTTAACATGAGCACCACAATTGAGTATTTATTAATCCTGATCATTTTCATACACATACAGTTGGGCTACACGTTTTAACAGGACACAACAACAAGACATCAGTAATATGAGCCTTTGAAGAGTAATGAATGTGAATCCCACCAATTATATATTTCATTTATAACAAATTCTATAGACTAACTGAAGCCTCAACTTTTTAACACGACACTAATTACATAATTTCAATAATTGTGAGCCTTAAATATAATTTTATTCCAAAATTACTTTATAATGCTAACTTTATATAACACAAACCTTCTCAATTAAGAACACTGTTACATTAAAGCATTGTACATGTCTGCAAATTAGTTTATAAACCTTCCTGGAGGATATTACCGAGGTGCCTGGGTGAAGAGGGTGAAGACAGACTCTCTCTGGCAACTTGACTACTGAGGAACTGGAAGGCTTCGTCCAGGCGGCCCCTGTGGTCCTCCAGGAAGCGTTCCAGAGTGTACACTTGAGTACCGTCATCCAAGGTCTTTAGCCCTTCCACTGGTGCGCCATTCACGCTGATCGTTCCTGGAACATTGAGAACTACTGTTCATATCCACAATTCAGGCTCTCAAACGTGAGTACATTAATTTTCTTCTAACACAAAAGAACACGAATATGCAGCTGGCTACTGTAGTGTGTTACTGGAAGCTATTTTTGTGACGTCAGTTTAGTGAGTTAGTAATTTTTCATTTACAAACTAAACTTTTTGTGCTTCTTTACGGGAGTAGTGGTTCAGGCTGCCCCACTGCTCCAGGGGTAACTGTAGTCACAGACAAACGTTTATACTCTTGTTCGAAGTTGTATGAAGCCCAAATGAGATACGTATAGAATAGTACGACCTTTTTATTGTTGGACTAGTGTAATTACTAACTTGATAACATGCTTAAAGGACCTTAAATGTTGGAGTGCAGTAACACCAATATACCGTAAAAACATACCACATCATCAATGGGTCAGACCAACAGTTATGGGTCTCAAGACATATAAAAGGACTACCTCCTACACGAACAAGAAAACAGTTCTGAGAGGCGGAAGAGCAAATACAACACCCACAATCACTAAGTGTCACCTCCTTGGTTCCTGGTGAAGACGAGGTTGTCTCCGGTGTGAGACTTCATCTTAAGGCCCCCTGGCTCGCTGATCCTGGGGTCCTCTGCATCTACAGGCTCCAGTTCCAGGTACTCCAGTAGGCCCTTCACGCCCTCAACTCCTCCATAGTCTTCATCAAGGCTCTGTTTTCCCTCTCCTGCATCCAGACGAAGGTACCAGGAAGAGAGTGAGTTAACAGATCATGCTGGCAATCATGACACAGACTTAATTTACATTCACCATGACTTTTCTACCATAAACTGCCATTCATTTACAGCAATACACTACCATGATTATTACCATACATCATCATGACTACTGCAATACACTACCATGATTATTACCATACACCATCATGACTACTGCAATACACTACCATGATTATTACCATACACCATCATGACTACTGCAATACACTACCATGATTTCAATATCCTACATTACCATACACTGACCTGGGTGGGTGTTTTCGGGAGGGGTACCAGGGAAGGAAGTCCTGGGGAGGGTGGCTCCCTGCAGGCAGCCAGACAGCATGCCCACCACCACCACCACCGTCAACACCCACATTGGCGCTCCTGTGGCAAAACACGATAGTTAGTCTCGAGAATGAAATTAAGAAACAGTTTATTTAGTCAGTATAATGCAGACACAAAGTGAACAACAATCACAATCTTGAAGTGGCTGAGCCTTTCGAGCGCTGCAGATCTCTGAAAGGCATAAAATAAATAATGTACACGTAACTGAAGAAAATTATTAAATAACATAGTTTATCATCTGAATTAAAATCCAAAGACAGGTTAATTGATTTTACGGTGCTGTAAATTTTAGACCACGTGAATCTAGTTTAAAATGAACAAATTCTTGGTTATCCTCGTTTATTTCAGAAACTACATCACACCCACGCCGCCGGTGCTCTCTTCAGGGATATAATGCCTTCATTGTGTGGGCGTCATGTAAATGTGTGCCAGGCGATTGGTCAGGACAATGCCTCGAGGCTCGCGGACACTCGTCATTGGAAGCACTGGTCAAACTTCAAAAACAGTTTGGTTCAGTGTGGGGACGTTGTTTGGCTTCGGGCTGGTTTGGAGGTGATAATCTTAAGTGTGTACTTTTGGTATATATCAGTACCTTGACTATGACTGATTTCGCTGTCCCTCAGTAGTACAGGACTGAATACATGTTCTTTCATGTCTCCTCTACTATTTTGAATTCTGTCTTGACATGTAATTTTCTGCCATTTAGACATGACATATGTTGGTAAAACGTTAAGATATCGTAACGTCAGCTTTTTAGGGGGTCACACACACACACACACACACACACACACACACACACACACACACACACACACACACACTAACACACACACACAGGACAAATTCTCTCTTTGTATCATTGTCATATTCACGTTAAGACAAAAGTAATACAATACTGTACATATGACGTGTGTTGTGTTGGCGTGATTCTTAACCTTTACTTGGCACCGAGACACAAAAAAGATGCAATATGTGATTCCAATACAAAACCAACAAACTACACCATTTGTGAACGTAATTTGATGTAATACTCAGCCCTTTTAGTTCTAAGACACCAACAATAACAAACACTGCAGAATTTACGAACGCGTGCTGCTGTAATTCACAACTTTTACCAGGACGTGTTGCTGGAATTGTCCTGAAGGGATATTACACAGCGGGTTCCTCCAAGCTAAGAGTTGCAGTATCACCATAAACGCTCCACAGGAAAAAAAAATGTTACACTTTCAGTTTCACCGACCTTGTAGCCGTACACTTACATTCGTACACAATTCGTGCCTGCCACACCCATCTGTCGCCTCTCTTCTTCTCCCCTCTCTCTCTCTCCATTCTTCATTTGTCTTATGGAACAATAGGTGTGTTGCGCCATGTTACTGTGGATAGCCTTCTCTTTGATTATTCTTAAGTCTTCTTCCGTAATAATAATAATAATAATAATAATAATAATAATAATAATAATAATAATAATAATAATAATAATAATAATAATAATAATAATAATAATAATAATAATAATAATAATAATAATAATAAAAAAAAAAATAATAATAATAATAATAATAATAGGTGTAGAGGTAGCCACAAGTGTTGGGGAAAGCCGTATCACATCAGTGAACACATGAAGCTCGTAAACCCTCAAGTCTCGTTCCGGGTTCTCAAATGATTCGGGAAGGTGAAAGCCTAGCTAGTTACTAGAGAGTTTCAGCGTGATTCTGACACCATTTCTACCTTCTATGTTTCGTTTGATGCTTCAACGAGTAATGAGTAGGTCCTACAGTTAAGAAAAATAGTGAATAATAAACATGCGAGAATCCTGGTGTAGAAAATCATAGGTTCGTATGATCATGAATCCCAATATATTGTTTGTAGCTGAATATGTAAGAATTAACCTGACGGGTTGACTAGGCTCAAGAATAATACCCAGATTATATTGACACTTCCTGAAATAGATAGGTCCATTTAACACTAGATGGGAGAATATATTAACCTACAAAATATTTCTCAAAAATTCCTCAAGTCAATTTATTGTCTGATGTTAGTAAACTTAAGCTGTCTAGTGAGGATGGTCTCGTGTAGTTCTGATGTTATTGGTACTTAAATGCATTTTTATATATGCAGTTACTATTATACTGTATATTCATTGTTTGAGCCTTTGAGAAAACGGGTCCTGGGAGGTAACCCCTTGTGAGGTGCGGCCTCCACAAGACTGACTCAACCTGTTGTCCTTATACCACAACCCCGACTAGTCTTGCTGCCCAAGTCTTCGTTCTTCACACACACACACACACACACACACACACACTTACTTTACCTTTCTCCAACCGACTTTCTTCCGAGCACACTCTCTTCACAAGCACATCTAATCGAGCACAGTGCATTACCATTTTACCTTAAAGCACATCATGGACCATCATTTTGACACATCTTGGCTTTGATTGTGATTTTTTTAGTCTCTACGTTTAGCTCATTAGTTATCTAACCTTGGCGGACACTGTACAAGCCAGGTAGATGACCCAAGAACACTATGACGTACTAGTCTTACGTAAACAACGGAATGAAGAGGCAGTGATCCGGCCTTTAAACGCTCGGACATGGAAATATTGATCAATAAATGAGTAAATGAAAGACTGTCTTTAACAAGTGTTGCTACAAGACAATGAAACTCCCTCGACAACACCAGGAATGCCATTCGCTTTGATACATCTCTTACAGGAGCGCTTAAGATGACTGCTGAATATTTCGATATGTTAAATGGTGAAAAAATAGCAGAAAATAGATAAAATTAACCTCTGTATTTTGTTTGTAAGAAAATAGTAAACAGAAGACAGTTTGTTAACGATAAACAGCAGATAAACCAATTTCAATATTATGTGGTTTCTCAGAAGATGAATTTATAAGGTTAATAGAAAGAAGATAGTCTTGTGACAGCGTGGTGCAGTTAGTAGTCAAAGCCTGCACTTAGTAACACAGCCAAACAGGTACAATAGTTTTTTTCTTAACGTGTTAGTGAAGTAACTGCACTTTCTAATTCAACTCCTTGTAGACATGCATTAACCATGGTCTAGATTCACACAATCCCGTACGATACATTATTCTCGTAACTGATTATGTAAGAATATGTCTAACTCGTTGACTAAAGCTAAAAGACTAGAATTATCGTCTATAAATAATATTGAAATTACACAGAGACTCTACCTCAATCAGATTATATTCCCTTAAAACCGACCAGAAGACAGAATGAACGTACAGTACAGGCGGCTTATCATCTCCTTGGTGTTAAATGTACGTATGCAATTATGACGAGAGTTATTTTTATATTAATTTCGGATGCTATTTTTGTATTAAGTCAACCAGTTAGGTATATTCCTATATGTTCATCTAATAGAAATAATTATCGTGTGAACCTTTCAGAACCTGGATTCTTATAAATGAAAAGCAGCTGTCGTCAAAAATAGTTGCCCCCCAACACTCCTCCTCTTGCTTTTTGCGATTCAAGTCGTGTATGACGCCTGGACGAAGGACGACAAGTTTTTAATAATATGGCAATTAACTGAACAAGAGTCCACTGAAGATGATATATCCATCTCCCAGCCTGTGGTATATTATGCAGGGGAAATATATATAAACACAGGCCATAACTCTGAAAGAAATCGTTATTGTGGAACTTACTAGTCATATAAACACTTCATTATACAAGTACCGTGAAACTCTGGTGAAAACTGGCGGAGGAAGTGAGTTTATGATCCTGTGGTTATAAAAAAACCCCCAGACAGACGGACACACACACACACACACACAATCTACGGGACCAATACCTCCTAAACAGCAATATGAGTTAGTTAATTTTCCCTTTTAATACATTATAGAAGATGAATGTTAGAGCAGCTCGAGAACTCAACTGTAAATAAGTACTCCACACGTTGCTTTTGTTGTCAGGTCTTTAGTGTGTTAGTTTATGTCAAATAATAATCATAATAATAATAACTTATACAGGAGCATCATCGGTAAATATAACACAAGAATATGTCACGGTTTTCATATTTAGTGAAACATTTCCCCGCCCTTTTCAATAACTAAACGACTAAAGACACAGCTTATATTTCCCACGAATAAGTCAACCAAGATTTAACACAACTTTTACACCCTTAACAATTCATAATGTTAAGGTCAACAAGTTGTGATGTATTGACAAAGTTGCTGGGAGTGAGGGGGTGGAGGGAGGGGGTGAGGGGGTGGAGGGAGGGGTGAGGGGGATGTCCAGTTGACCGAGAAGTCCCGTTAAATCAGCATCACCTAAACACTTCCACCTGTCTCGCTACTTTCTAACACTGGGGGCTTCTTTTACGTGGAATACCAAACGTGTGCATCTTTGAGACTCGACACTTAAGCCATTACTCCAATAATTACTCCACTTCATGTTCTGAGGAGGAATGTCACGCCTGCCACTTACTCAACGTGAAAGTAAATTATCCACACTAACAGCCTTCATCCTGGGCTTAAAAGTTTTGGGTATTAAAGAGAAATTTGATGTATGTGAACCGCTGAACTTATGAACCAGAAACAAAAACAGGAAATTATTTAGTTATTGATGAAAAAATCAAAATAATTCTACGATTAACGGAAATTGATCATTACAACTTAAGAGGAAAAAATCTTATGGCGAATTTCCTCATCATATATTTCAGGAGATCTATCGTTACTCCTTGAACATGTCATAGGTAAATCAACCTCATGGACGGGCTTTCAGTACAGGAGGTGAGCACACGAAGACCATTATTTAGTAAGACCCATTTTTCAGACGAGAGAGAAGCAGAGTTTTGCATTATCAACAAAATCAGGTTGAATTTGTTATCAATAGAGAATTTCAGTGTATAATGTTAGTGTTTTGTGAATTAATCAAAATTTTTCCATTGCAAGCTTCTTACATTTACCTAAACACATCCGTAATGTTAATAAGTAACGTTACTGTTCCTTGACGCTGCCCAATGATACTAAAATTAATAATTGAAACAAGAATGCAAGTTACAATTAAAATACAC